ATGCCTAGAAACAGCATCAAGAATAAGATTAGCCACCACCAAATCACCAAGAACTGAGCCAAGACCTTCTGCTGGGCTTCTTCTTGGTGTTGGCTGAGGTGGCCTTGGAGGAAAGCTCCATGGCCAAGCTGTCCAGAGCTGCAGGCTATTTTTCTGTTTTCTTGTCTGTGCCCGCATGCAGCCCAATGGCCTTGGATGCTACCTGCCATCTCCTTATGTCTTCCTCAGGAAGACAGACGCTGTCCTGGAGGTCTTCTTTTGGCTCCTTTGTTGTCACCTCCTGAGCTGTCCCTTCATGAACAGAGGCTGGGACCCACGTCCCTCTACCTCCTGACACCCCACCTCTCCCAACGCTGACATCATGCAGCGATGCGTTGACTTTGGTAGCGTGGATACTACAGACCAGACCTTGTTCTTACGGGGGGAGAAGGGGCAGGAAGAAAAACCTGCCTCTGTGTTGACAGTCCCCAGATTTCTCTTTGAAGTGAGCTGTCGCAAAGCCTCGATCCCCTGCTCGCATCCCCGGGCTAATCTGCGCGTCCCTTTCCTCCGCAGGTGCCCTACTCCTGGTTGTGACGGCTCTGGTCACATAACAGGAAATTATGCATCGCATAGAAGGTAAGATCTTCTTGAAATTATTTTCTTTGTAGCCTCTTTCTGGTTTTTGTTTTGCGGTTTTTTTTGCTTTTTTTTTTTTTCCCCCTGCAGTGGGCAGAGTTGTAAAGTTCTGAATAAAACATTAATGTTACTGACAACTGAAGCCTATTTTCATCTCTTTAATCTGACTTCTCTTTTTTTTTTTTTTGATGTTTCCAGCATCTGATTAGAAGCTGCCTTCAACAGAATAAAAGACAAAGGGTCAGATTTTAGCTGATGCAATGTTCCTGTTAATAATGCTACCTATTTATGACTTCTATTATCACTTTAGAGCATTAATAGCAGAGATCTGAGCCTTCTGTTTCAACAATTCCATTAAACATCGCAGGCTGTTAGCAGATATCTTCTTATCTAGACTCCATTAATTACTGTCCATCTCCCTCAATTTTTTATTTTTTTTTTTTTTCCTCCTGACTTCTCCTCGTGATGTGAAGCTGCAAAACGAGAGAGATCAAAACCACTGTGTGCGAAATTCAAGGGAAAGATGACTGGAGCGGGGGAATAGCAAATGCAGTGATTCTGCCAGTGAGACAGGCCTTTCTTCTCTTTTTAACCACAGTCTGTCAGGCTGCCCTCGTGCCAAGAAAAGTGGGATCAAGATCACCCCGACAAAGGATGATAAGGAAGACCCGGAGCTGATGAAGTAAGTCCGGATGAAACTCCCTCCCCTTTGCTTCGCACCAATTTCCGCGGGGGAGCAGCATCCATCCTGCATCCTCCCCTTGCTCCAGAGCATCGTCTGCCTGCGCTGGGGCAGGTGCTGCCAAAGCTCTTCCCCTTGGTTTCTGGGAAATTTTTCCTTGATCCCAAAAATGGTGTAAGTTTGATTGGAAAATTGGGTGATGGGGAGGTGACGGTGTATTTTTATTTTTTCTTACTTGTTTTTACGGAGGTGAAAGGTAGGCTGTAGGGCACAGACAGTTCCTCTTCTTTTGCTTTATATAATTTCTAAAAAAACCCACCAGTGTTGGAAATGAGGGTAAAAACCCAAAGTCAAGCAAAACCTTGCAGGTTTTTGGGCAGCGATGGGCAGGTGAGGGGTGCCGGTGGGCTTGCTTAACTCCCAGGAACGGGATAGAAATAGAAACTACCCAGCACTGAGCTGGGTCGGTAACCCTGGATAAAATGCATCCTGCAGAGTCTCTGACAAGGCTGAATATTCAAAAGCAAACTGAAAAAGCCTTTCTCTGCTGCTTCAGGCTAGATTTTTCAAAACATCCCAGGGGGTTTATTCCTACTGGGAACAGAGATTTTAAATCCCTTAGTCCACTTCAGGAGCTTTTATTTGCTGTGAAATCCATTTGTCCTGACTCTGAGCAAGCTCAAGCATCCAGAGCCTGATGCGAGGGTTGGGGTCTGTGTCCCGAGCCCTCGTGCAGCTGCAGGACACCAAAGACCTCACAGCGGGGCTTCGACCAGCGCTGACTCCAGCACCCTATTCTTTGTTAACCCAGAGCATCCCCAGCCTTTCGGGATCCTGTCCACTCACCCAGCAAGTGCAGGCAGAAGGGGTTAAAAATAAACATGGAAAAAATTTACCAACCCCCTGCAAGAGTTTCTGGATGCCCGTGAGCGCTGGCATTTCTGGCCAAACCCCTTGGGCTCTGCAGACTGTCCCCAAATGCAGCTTTTTTCCCCCATTCTACCCCATGGCAGGTTTTGCAGCAGCACAGAGGTGGGTACCTCCATGTACCCGGGTTTTGCCCGGGAGCAGAGGCTGAACCGGAGTGGGAACCCTCCCCGCAGGAGCTGTGGGAAACTGGGATGCACAAGCTGGGGAAAGGACCTTTAAGAGCGAGTTGGTATTTGAGCCATCTGTGCTGTGCTTACTCCCCAGTCTACAGGAAGGAAAGGCTCCCAGTTAAATGAGCTGTGTGATAATTAGCAGGACTTAGTGGAGTTTATTAAAAATTAAGCAACCTACTTGAGAATCTGTGGGGGAAAAAAAAATCCTTTTTTGGCTCCAATACACTAAATTGCTGGTGCTATTGTAATGCAGTGCCATTACACAGACACAGCGAAGGAAAGGACAAGCAGCAAGTGCTGTCGTGCATCGGCCGGCTGTTGCACCTTTGCTTCTTTCCCCCCAGTTGGAGGGCTCTGGGTGGGAGGCTGCCCCTTGCTGTGTTTTCCCTGGGGACACGTGCCCCACGGGGCTGGAAAAGCTGGGGCTTTGCTCATCCCCGTCTGCCCCATTTGGGGCCCTGGATCAGGGGGTGGAGGGACAGGACGAAGGTAACGGTTTTAAGCTGAAAGAGGGGAGATTTAGATTGGATATGAGGAGGAAATGTTTCCCTGTGCGGGGGGTGAGGCAGTGGCCCAGGGTGCCCAGAGAAGCTGTGGATGCCCCATCCCTGGAGGGGTTCAAGGCCAGGCTGGATGAGGCTTTGGGCAACCTGGGCTGGTGGGAGGTGTCCCTGTCCATGGCAGGAGGCTGGAACTAGACGATCTCTAAGGTTCCTTCCATGTATGATCCATTGAGGA